GGTTCTTTCTGAGAAAAGCATATGCAGGTTTTTGTCAATATGCAAATTATTTGTTCTTTCTCCTCAGCATACATGAGGTCAGTGATAGCTGATTGATCTGAGTGAACCACTGGAGATTCTTAAATAAGTATTTTAGACAAACAAATGTTAAATATTCCCAATATTGCAGACAGTCCAAACCTGAAATTATATTGAAAGGGATCAGACACATTTCCCCCATCTTTTTTTCTGTACCTTTTTCCACTAAGTAATTTCCATGCTGACTGGAAATTTTAAGGAGAAATACTATTTCAAAAATGTTTTTTAAATGTTCTTACTGGCTTACCTTTTGTCACACCAAGTTCTAGACAACTTCATCCTCTGCATTTTGTATTACTCCTATAATAAGAATGCCCCCGGAAACAAAAAAATGACTGAGGTTTATCTTGATTCACGTTTAATCATGAAGCTTTGAGAATTTCTAACATATGTCCTGTTTCTGTAAGATCCTCTGCATTACAGTGCTCTCACAGAAAGTTTAAAGGGCTTTTTTTGAAATACACAGCAAAAGGAATATTGGTTGTTTTATGTGCTTGACAGCATTTTGAAGAATGTGGGCTTATATTAAAATCCTTTAGGAGCTAGAATTTAAAAAAAAAAAAATGTTAAAACTAGTGATACCACAGTCATTTCAATGGTAACATGGTCCGGTAAAGATTTTAGACATCACTTGCAGAAATTAAATTCCATGTTTTGTGAATTAGTTTACCTTGTGTTGCATCAATTCAGTGGAGAAGTTATCCCCAGAGATTAAGCCTGGCTCATGGCAGATATAGGAAGTTGGATGCAGAGATTGACTTGGGATCATATCACCAGACCAACTGAACTTCACTGAGCAGCTTTACAGTCTCAGACTTTGTGCATAGGACCGATTCATCTGGTGAAGAGCTTTAGTCAGAGGTGTCTTCAAGGTGGTGATAAAACATCCTGACTAGTGATGGGATTTTGCAGAGGCTGACTTAACATCTCATGTTTAAATGTCATAATCCAGTTTCTTTAAATTCTGAGTCTCCTTAGAGTTTCAAAACAGAGGAGTTGCAGTACTGGCTTCATGTTTGGGTAGCATAATTTTCTTTACATTGGGTACTAAGTTTTGTTTGTAAGTAGAAAACTGCTAAACAGCTTACTGTACTTCAGCTTTTGAAAAACTGACCCGTGAAGCTGGTTCCTTTTTTCATTTAGGATTTTTTTTTTATCATGCACAGAGTATCTTAAGCAACTATATCGTAACATAGGCAGAACCTCGAGGAATCACTACTTGTAAGAGGTTATCTTGAGGTTCTAAGAAGTCTTCATCCCGTGCGGGCACTTCTCCATGCCCCCGGAAGTGTAGCTGCTTGTAGTCAGTGAAGTTCCCATGGTACGTTTTGTAAGAGAAGAGAGGAGTAACTTCTGAATCACACTTAGCAATCTAGTAGGAGGTCTGTATGGCACTGTGTGTTCTTACATTCTTATTCTACACCATGTGCAATGTAGTGTGGTCAGAATATCAGTTGCTGACAGGGCATCTTCAGTAAGTAGGTGCTTTTTCCATCCGGAATGACCAAAGATGATAACAAAGAATGAGCACTCAAGCTAATGTAACCATTTAGAGGACTGCGATAAATGCTAATACAAAATAACAACATATCCTTTACAAAAATGTATTATTTGCTTTTTTTGATTGTTTTTGATTGTCCGATTCAGAGATTGACGTGTCTAAAAAACATACTACAACGTGTGCAGTACTTTGCCTGGCTTATGACATGCTCACATTGATTACAATTAGTCGGGATAGAAGTAACCCTTATTTTTTCCTGATGTGTTTCTAGGATGTGCGCTGTATTTGGTGGTATCTATTGTCTTCGCCATTCTGTGCAGTGCCTTGTAGTGGACAAAGGATCTGGACGGTAAGGGCAGTAGAAGTAACCTTCTGTTTATATACAAAATACAGATGAAAAATCTGTTAAGTCAATTTAGAAAAAAATGATTCTTCAAAGATCCTCCTTGGTATTAATAACACATCAACCTTGATTAAAAGTAATTTGTGTATAGGTCCTCCAGAACAAGGAAAGTGGGTCTAGAATATAGAAACTAAATTAATTTCCCTGTGATATTACTACAGCTCCTGATCATCCAAGCTTGGAAGACAAATCATTTCAGCTGCCGGGGGGCTGGTGATGAGTGATGTTAGTTTTCCTTGTGGCCTTACCTACTCTAATTTATTTTCATCAGATGACAACAAAGCCCTCTGTTATTGCATTTTTAAAAATGGTGCTCACCTAAAGACTCATCAGATTAATCTTTGCTGATAATGTATGTCACTCCAAGAGAAAAGACTTTAATGAGTTTTTAGGTAGATTGTTGTCATAAACTATACTGCCCTCTTATCCTAGAATAAATTCTTTTACAACAATATCAGGCCTGTAGGCGGGTTTGAAGTTGAGCTAAGGAAAATCAACCCATAGTTTTTTCCATAGTGGCATTTTTTTATCTTTCTGCCAGTTCCTTAAGGTTTTGAAATTCACTGCATAGTTTTAGACTTTGAGATGCAAACGTGGTAGTATTTCATCAGGTGTGGTGTTGTCTTAAGTGTATGGTTCATATGCAAATGCAATTCTGCCCCTTTCATAAACTCTGCAGGTTTTATTAATATTTGAGCATTTGCTGTAGAGAGCCTTATTTTCCAATAATGTTTAAATAGTTAACTTGCTCTTTCACAGGGACAAAGGTCCTACTTGTTAACAACTTCCTAACGCCACTCTGTGGAGATCTTAACTGGTCAGTGGTGCTGATTAACCCAGTTTCCAGCCTCTTTTGCACATTCTGAAATTGTTTCCTTTGTAAGGTTATGTGTATTCTAAAAAAGGTGGAGTGCTTCTTTTCCTTAAACGTGCTTTTATGGTTTGGATCTAATAAGTTCCTCGAGATTCCAGATGGGTTTCAAGTGTCTTTTTGGGGTAGTAGGTTCCTTTAGTGGTTCATTTACGCCATTTTCACCTAAAACTGAAGAACAGATTTTTGAGGTGCAGAATTGCTGATACATTTTTAAAAGACTTTACCTCACTTGCATTATTCCAAAAACATTGGTCTTTAATGCCATTATCTGATGCTGAATATGAAGAAGCAGAACACATCTGGCTCCCGAAGCCTAGTCACCTCCTTCTGTTGTCTCTTTTAGGTCTCCCATAGTTTCAAGGCTGGTATTTTACCAAGTAGCATTTCCACATCAAAATAAAAGTAAACAACAATAAAAAAAGCGTAGAAGTTAAGGGAAGTGTTAGACTTCTTTAAGATGATGAAAATAATGCGGCCTCAGTCAAAATACATTTTTAAAAAAAGTATTTTCAGCAGTGAAAGAAGGATAATTCTCTTTTTTTCCCTATTAATTTTAAGAAGTCTCAAACATCCTCTTCACCATTTCAAAAATGTCACCAAAAAGCTGAGGTTTTTTGACCCAGGTATGGTTTTATTCAGTTGTATTATTTTCTCTTGATTTTGTTTTTTCTCACCTCAGTGGAATACTGCTTTTACTTGCTAAGTCTCTTCCTTAGCGTGTTGCATAACAAGCAATCCAGTTCGTTCCTAAGATCATGACTATTTCCTTTCCCTTCTTTCTCTCTCTTCATGTTACCTCTTTCCTTACTGCGTATTCCCTCCCTGCGCTAGCTCTGATTTCCTCTTGACTTTGGGCTTCAGTGTTTTGCCTAATAAAACCCAGCTATCAAATTGTTAATGAGGGTATTTATGACTTACTGAGCTTCAGAGTCAACAGGCCATTAATAGTAATTGATAATAGACAAATTCATATCTCGTTGTCACTACAGCTGGCTCCCTAGTTTCAGAGACAGCTCACCTGGGTTACAGATAGGGGAAACTCACAACAGTAGTTTAGTCAAATTTTGCAGTATTCATTATTATTTTATAAGCATCTTCCGTAGGCTTCATCAAGATCTTAGTGCAGTTATTTTTTCACTCTTTTGGATATTGCTGCTTTAGTACATGTAAGGAAAGTTTATACTTGTAGCCAAAGCCTTGATTCTTTTTCCTCAAGCTTTTTGTGTTTAATTTAAAGTCCCTTAATTTCACCAAAGCGTGTTCCAGCTCATTTCTAGACATGGCTTATATTCTCTCCAGCACAAGAAAAGTAAGAACCCATTCAATATATAGTTGAATTGCTTTTTCACTTTTTTCTACCTGTAGCTGTATATACAGAGAACAGTAGATTCCCAACTATACAATCATTTTCATTGTGTTATATAGCCCTTCTTGCAGTTTATGAAAATAAAATTCAGGAAAGTTAGTGGGAAAGTATAGCAACTTTCAGACATACCTATTTTAAGGGTTTGGTAATCCACTTGAAACATTTTAATTTTTAGATGTATTATATCAGATTAGGGCTGCTGTTTTAATATGCATACAGAACATCCTGCGTTCTTGATGAACTCTGATGCTTAGTTAGAAAATAAAACCCACATCAGATTCCCTAGATTGAGGAAAAAGCACACTGAATGTCCGCATGGTAATGATTCTTCCTTTTTCTTGTTTATTTTCCCCGTGTTTATAGTAGGTGGCTTTTTGGGGTATATATATGATAAAATGTCAAGTATTTTAAACTGCATGCATTGCATGAATAGTAATGGTAAGCATTTTATGTTGATCACACTGTACGTAGGTTTCTAATTAACGTAATTCTGTCTCAAAAATGGAAAAGATGTGATAAATGGGAATTTATACATCTGTAATAAAAAGATATAGCAAACACACAGTAATTTACATATTGTTCTTGAAATATTGCATCCTGGCTTTGTCAGTGCTGGTAAGTCCATTTCAAGGATGTCGCCCTTAGTCCATTAGTTTGGATAATGAGCCCTATAAAGTACATTCATAACTCGTGGCACTGCAAGGAGATGGATTCTAATTTTCATCCTTTTATCTAGACACATTGAAAGAAGGTCAATGGAGGGTTCTGTATGATTCATTGTCCCAACACATATCAGATGACAGAGACCTGATAATGTCAGTGCATAAGTGTTTTCCATATTTGGAAGCAGTACTTGAAAGAAATTTTCTCAGCATCATCCTTTGAAGTGGAGACTGAAATGAAAAGCGCTATCGCTTTTTGGGTTAAGAATCTTACCACACACATGACCTGATAGCTATTCCTGAACAAAGGAGAGAAAACAACACTTAGCAGGAAAATCAAAAGTACGTAGTTGCTTTTGCTGGCTTTGAGTGATGCAAGGTGACATTTAATCAACCTTTCCCCTTCGATAATGCTTTGGGGGGGTGGCAGGGAAAATTGTTTCATAAACAATAAGAAAGGTTATAATTAGAAATGAACTGTAGCAGCTTGACTTCCTTGTTTATTTGCAGTATTCAAATGAGTGCTTGAGAATGAAATCAGTTAGGTTAAAATGAAGAAAAAAAACTTCTTAAAGTTGCAAGTGAAACACATGTTGAAGAGAACGGGATTGAAACAGCATGAAGAATACTACATGTTTTAAGTTCCAAAATGGTTGTACCACTAGGCTTTTCTTTTAATTACTGTTTTCAAGTCATCTGTGGAATTTTAATGTACGTATATATGCAGTACCCAGATTCCTGTGAATTCAGTATTAGGAGTTACTGGAGTAAAGTCGTGCTTAACTGTCGTTAACCTCTTACATTTGTGAGTAAGCATTGTGTGCACCCTTTTCCAACGCTCATTTCAGACTACAGAAGCAACTTGCACTAGTAGCTTGTGGCAGCCTATTGCTTTTACTTATTTACATCTGGTTTGCATCTTCTCTAGTTCTCTAGATGGTTTTGATCACCGTAGCTAATTAAAAACTTGAAGTTACAGAAATGCTGTTTATTTGTAAGGAATAACTTTACAGGAGTAATGTTGCGTATGATAAAACACATTTAAATTTGCAAGGGATTTCTGTGTTAGGCATCCTTTTGTTGTTTCCATGTGTGTCAGTGTGCATGTGACTGTGTAAGAGAATTTACTGCTTTGAATCCTGTGTATTAAATCTACTGAAATGTAAATTTTAAAAAAATACAGTAACTTTCATACACAAAGCAGAAGCTAAGTAAAGCTAGTTTTCTTCATTTAATTATACAGTAGATCTGTTCTGCTACTCTAGAAAACCTTGGAATCTTGTTTTAGAGATCAATATTAAGTCTTAAAGATTCTTGGGATATGGAAACAAGCTATAAAGAAGAAAGTTGTAGTGCAAGTATTTTGCTTGCACTTCAGGTAGGAGAAGCATTCATTAAGATAGGTGCTCTTCAAACGTGTAGGGCTTTCTAAACAAGTTTGCAACATCTCAGTTTGAGGAGAATATGTACAATGAAGCAGAACACAGATCGTGGCATATAAGAATCAGCAGTAGAGGTTGTTTTCAGTTAATATCTGCATGCAGCCTCCCTTTTATTTGTTTCATGTACATGATTTGGTTTCCTGCATGTCATATATATGTCTGATTTTTCTACGAATTTTTTCCCCATTAAAATCTGAAATTTGTATCGCCTTCTCATTTAAGCTCTCTGAAACTGCTGCTTTTCCATGGTTGGCATTTCTGTCCCATTTATGAGTGTTAGTCTGTTGTGTTACACTTGACTCTTAAGAATTTTTGTAGCAGTGTCTCAACTTTTAAGTATTCTCATTTTGTTTCCACCTGCTTGCATTAGGAGAGAAAGGGGATTTTTTTTAAAAGTATTGCCTGAGGCCCACTAACACATCTTTGCTTTAGAATTTGTATCTATTCGAAGACAAACAGTATCTATCAAGAATGTTTGTAGTGTTCTGAAAGTAATGTGACTTAATTATTCCTTTTGTGTATAATTCAGAGATAAATGCTACATTTAGTCACAAATATAGAAGCTCAAAGAAGTTCTCATCCGTTGCACACATTTCTCAGGGATTTTTCCTTACATCTCTTAAGTTACCATTTATTGTGTCAAATACAATTGTCAAAATAACGGGTCTTTGGTAAGATTGCTGTCTGAGGAAAAAACACCAAGATAGGATAACACCTAGAAAATTCTTCACAGTACTTACTTTTCCACATATCATGAGGTAAAAAACATATGCCATTTTCACGTACAATCAAATACCAGTGTTATTAGCTAATATTTAATTTTCCTTATAAAGTAGAAATTTATTACAGCTGTAGTATTATTATCTATAATGGCATTACATGTAAAACATTATATATACCAAGTAAAATGTGTAAGTCTAGCACTTAGTTACCAGTTTCAGTTGAGTTGCTTTAGGGGTTCACATGTTAAAGAAATGTGTCGCTAACATACTCGAAAGATATAAATGATGTTCTATATAACTCAGTTTTGAAAACTTACGCATGCTTTGTTCCTTATATCTAAATTTCTTATTTTGTTTGAAACTTTTTAACAGATGCAAAGCTGTTGTGGATCACTTTGGACAAAGAATAAGTGCTAACTATTTTATTGTGGAAGACAGTTACCTGTCAGAGGCTGTATGCACAAATGTGTGTTACAGGTATGTAGTAAAAAGCATAGTAAATTTCTTAAATTACGGTGTATAAAATACCCTGTGAGTTAAACTTCAGCGATTGTTGTCTCCTGATTTATCTTTGGTGTACACTTTAGTTCTGTGCATAGTTTTTCTCTTCTTTATATATACTTGAGGGCATACTATATTTCCTATGGTTAGGTTTTTCTTAAATTGTTCTCTAAATCACACTGTCGTTTTCCTTATGAAAAGACCCAATAGCTCTAAGCGCATAGGGATTTCACATTTGTTAAAAAAGTGTTTGGAATGTGGAGGTGCCTATTGCTCTTCTCATTTTAAATATGTTCAGGATTAGAAAAGTATTAGAATTCATTGTTTTCTCTGGTTGTTGTTGTTCTTGCCAAAAACATTGGACATATACTGCCTTTGTCTTCAACTATTGCAGAATGGATATTAGCAAAACTAGTAGTAGGTGCAGTGCAGAAATAAGCATAGGCAGTGAAGGAGTGAGGCGGGTGCTGGTCTGTTCTCCTGGGTAACTGGTGACAGGACAAGAGGAAATGGCCTCAAGTTGCATCAGGGGAGGTTTAGCTTAGATATTAGGAAAAACTTCTTCACTGAAAGGGTGGTCAGGCATTAGAACAGGCTGCCTAGGGAAGTGGAGGAGTCACCATCCCTGGAGGTGTTCAAGAAACATGTAGATGTGGCCCTTGGGGACATGGTCTAGTGAGTATGGTGGTGCTGAGTCTTTTCCAACCTTAGTGATTCTGTGATTCTATAGATGAACTCCAGCCTCGTGTATTTGCCCTTAATCCAAAGTGCCCTATGCTGTTTGGAACATAAAAAGTCCTATAACACGATGCTACTAATCTTCATCAAATTAAAAAAAAGGTTTATTTTTACAAATCAGAAGGATATTCAAGCTGGTTTAGGTAACGGCACTGGCTCACTTATTCGTTATCAGTTTTGGTCACTGAAAGTACTACATGAATGTTCCAGATGCGCTCCTACTTCAGCAACAGGCAAAATATCCAACTAACCATCATACTAATAAAAATGGTATGTTTAAATAGCCCTCCCACAGTATTCTGTTTAGATTGGTGTTGCCAAAACTATGAATCCAAACTGCTATTTTTTACGTTTTTGTGAAATGCCATAACTGTGTCATTCAATTGTAGGCAGATCTCCAGAGCAGTGCTCATTACAGATCAGTCTGTATTAAACACAGATTCGGAGCAGCAGGTATATATCAACTTTCTATCACTTACTTGTATTAATTGTATGTATTAATATTTAACTGTTGGTAGGAGGTATTTCATGCTTTTTTTTGTGCTTGAATCCAGCTGTTTAGACTGATACTTGTTTAATTCATTAATGTGTGTAACACTGTTAGGGATTTTTTTTTTCCCTTCAGTGTCTTGGGTTTCCCTGCTTGTTGGTCGGCACTGTATTAATTAACAGAGTTTCTAAGCTGCTCTCTTTAGGATAGTTCATTTTGCTTGCTTTTTGATGAATGGTTACCCTTAGGATTATGTTAACTATTTATCTCATCTCAAATTTGTTCAAAGATCTTCTGGTTTTTAAACATCCACTAGGTTCTTATTATACACATTCAGAATCTGCTTTAAATGTTTCTACTTCATCAGTCTTTGCAGACCTCATGTCTTAAGGTCTTCTTCTGTAGGCTTCCTGTATTCTTACAGTTTAATAGGACCTAATAACATACATGTCAGAGAAGTCTGTTCTTCCTAAGTCTTGCTACTAGCACCCTGCACAGAACTACTCTGCTCTTTCTCACCAAACAGAGCTCTGCTCAGCGTGCAAAAACCATTTGGCAGTCTCTTGCCAACAGGGTTTCTAAACTGTCATCCGTAGGGCTGTGATTTGAGGTTTGTTTTCTGTTCCACTGCTGCAGACATTCCTAAGAAAGGTGGCCCTACTGATTTTAGTAGACTTCCTTGAATGCTTAAATTCGGTAGGATTGCTTCAACAAATTGCTGCTAATAAACCAGAAAACAAAACTGTATAAATGACTGCAATTATTTGTCACCTTCACTCAGAATTGTGTTGGCTGCCTCATCCTTCCTGTTACTCTGTGTTAACGTAAGTTGTTCTTCCTGCCTCCTAGGTTTCCATTATGACGGTGCCCCCAGTGGATCCAGGAAAACCAGCAGTTTGCGTCATTGAGTTGTGCTCCTCCACCATGACATGCATGAAAGACACTTGTACGTACAGGGTATATGTACTCTTAACTGTATTTTCCCCTTGGGCTTGGTCAAATCTGAAACAGAAGTTAAAATATGTGTGCATCACACCTCACCTGCTCAATGACTGAGTTATTACGGCGAAAATAGTGTGTTCTGGGTGCAGTTACCAGCAGATGAGTGAAACCGGCCATTGTCGTCATTCTGTAGCAGTTACGTGCTGTTTCATGTGGTTTGGCAATCGTACTGCAAGATTCTTGTTGCATTCTTTTAAACTTATATGCAATAATTATTTATTTAAGGTCTTACTGTAATTCTCGTGGTAATGAAGCATATTGTTCTTTATTTCCAAACAGATCAAATGTCAAGTGTTCTTTTAAAGCTTAGGTGGATAATAAGCTTCATAGTTGTAGTCTTATTAGCACAGGGACAGTATTCTGTTTGCTGTACAGTAATTATGGAATAGCACCACCAAATGCTTTTTGTTTTGGTTGCTGTATTATTATTTTACATTTAAACAAAAAAGTATTGGAGTGTCACATTTTGTTTAT